TTATCCGTGAGTAGCATAACTCCACATATACTGGGTTGCTCCATAATTATGTCTCCTGTTATTCCTTATGCAGGTAATACTAAAATTAAGGCTAAGATGGTCTTGAATGAGGAGTTCATGAAATTTCCCTGATGCTCCCAAGGTAGAAGTTATCTCCTGCTCTTATATAATATAGATAATACTTTGTATCTCCAAATTTATTTTCATTTTTTATATTACATTATGATTCTTTGTGTAGACTCTTTCTCTTTACTCAACTTTAACTTACATGACCTTATTTGATTAACTGTTTTTAATGTATAAAAATATTGGTATCTCCCTGAGGCAGTTAGGTGGTTCAGTGGCTAGAATACTGGCCCTGGAGTCAGGAAGACCTGAGTTCAAATCTGGCCTCAGACACTTACTATCTGTGCAACTCTGGGAAAGTCACTTAATCCCAATTGCCTCCAAAAAAAATTTTTTTTAAATAATTGACTCAGAAAATAGATCCAGGAGAGACAATATGAGAGCCATAGGACTACCTGAAAGCCATAATCAAAAGGAGAAACTAGACAGCATCTTTCAAGAAATTATCAAGGAAAACTGCCCTGATATCCTGGAACCAAAGGGCAAAATAGACATTGAAAAAATCCACCAATCACCTCAGGAAAGAAATCCAAAAATGAAAACTCCAAGAAGCATTATAACCAAATTTCAGAACTATGAAGTCAAGGAAAAAAAATACTACAAATGGCCATAAAAAAAATCCAATTCAAATATTGAGGAGCCACAATCAGGATTACACAGGACTTGGCAACTGCAACATTAAAAGATTGGAGATCATGGAATATCGTATTCCAGAAGGCAAAGGATCTAGGACTACAACCAAGAATCATTTACCCAGCAAAATTAAGCATAATGCATGAAGGCAAAAAATAATCAATCAATTAAATAGAAGGATTTCAAGATTTCATAAGAAGACCAGAACTAAACCAAAAATTTGGCCTCCAATATTAAGACCCAAGAGAAGTATAAACAGGCAAAAATGGAAAAGAAAGCACAAGGGATTCCATGGAGTTAATTTATTTACATCCCTACACAGGAAGATGATACTTGTAATTCTTAAAAATTGTATCACTAATAGTACAGCTAGAAGGAATATACACAGACAGAGAGTACAGTGAATAAGGTGAATTTGAGGGAATGCCATTAAAAAAAGGATGAAAAAGGGAATACAATGGGTACAGAAGGGAGAGGTAGAATAGGGTAACTAATTTTGCATGAAAGGGCTTCAAAGACCTATTACAGTGGAGGGAAAGATGGGAATGTGGGCATCTCTTGAAACTTACTGTCATCAGTATAGGCTCAAAGGGGGAATCACATACACAATAAGTTGATATAGAAATCTATCTTACCTGACAGGGAAGTAGGAGGAGAGGAGACCAGATAAAGTGGGGGGAAGGCTGACAGAAGGGAGGGCAAATCAGGAAAGGTGGTAAACAGAAGCAAAACACTGGTGAGGAGGGAAAAGGTGAAAGGAGAGAGATAAGAGACAGGAGGAAGAATAGGACAGAGAGAAATACACAGATAGTAGTCATAAGTCTAATGTGAATGGAATAAACTCCCTCATAAAATTGAAGTGGGTAACAGGGTTGATCAAAAACCAGAATCCTACAATATGTTGTTTCCCACAAACACACATGAAGCAGAGAGACACACATAAAGTAAAGGTAAGGGGCCAGAGCAGAATATATTATGCTTCAGCTGAAGTAAAACAAAACAAAACAAAACAAAACAAGGGAAGCAATTCTAATCTCAGACAAAGTGAAAAAACAAAAATAGACCTAATTAAAAGAGATAAGGAAGGAAATTACATCTTGTTAAAAGGTATCAAAGACAATGAAGAAATATCAGTACTAAACATATATGTAGCAAGCATCCAAATTCTTAAAGGAGAAGTTAAGTGAGTTACAGGAAGAAATAGACAGCAAAACTAAGCTACTGGGAGACCTCAACTGTCCCATCTCATTAAGTCCCATCAAAAAATAATAACAATAAAGAAACTAAGGAGGTAAATAGAATATTAGAAAAGTTAGATATGACAGTCCTTTGGCGAGATTTAACCATACAGGGTGATACCATAAGCAAATTAGAAGAGCAAAGAATAGTCTATCTGTCAAATCTATGGGGATGGGAAGAATTCATGACCCTACAAAAGATAGAGAACATTATAAAATATAAAATAGATACTTTTGATTATATTAAATTAAAATACTTGTACAAATAAAACCAATGCAGCCAAGATTATAAGAAAAGTAGAAAGAGGAGAAACAATCTTTACATCGAGTGTCTCTATAATCATATGAAAAAGTGCTCTAAATCACTATTGATCAGAGAAATGCAAATCAAAACAACTCTGAGGTACCACATCCTATCAGATTGGCCAACATGACAAAACAGGAAAATGATAAATATTGGAGAAGATGTGGGAAAATTGGAACACTAATCCGTTGTTGATGGAATTGTGAATTGATCCAACTACTTCAGAGAGCAATTTGGGACTATGTCCAAAGGGGTAAAAAATTATGCATTTGACCCAGCAATAGCAATAGCACATCTAGGGCTGTATCCAAAAGAGATCATAAAAATGGGAAAAGGACCCACATGTACAAAAAAAAATTATAGCTGCTCTTTCTGTGGTGGCAAAGAATCAGCAATTGAGGGGATGCCCGTCAGTTGGGGAATGGCTGAACAAGTTGTGGTAGATGAATGTAATGGAATACTATTGTGTTATAGGAAATGATGAGCAAGTCAACTTAAGAAAAACCTGGAAAGACTTGTATGGACTGATACTGAGTAAAGTGAACAGAACTGGGAGAACATTATACACAGTAACAGTCACGTCATGCAATGACTAACTTTGATAGACTTAGCTCTTCTCAGAAATGCAAGGATCTAAGATATCTCCAAAAATCTCATGATGGAAAATGCTATCCACATCCAGAAAAAAGAACTATAGAGTCTGAATGCAGATTGAAGCATACTATTTGCTCTTTTTTTTCCCTTCTGTTTTGGTTTGTTTTGTTCCTTCTTTCTTGTGATTCCTTCTATTGGTTCTAATTTTTCTTTACAACATGACTAATGTGAAAATATGTTTAATGGGAATGTACATGTAGAGTCTATATAAGATTGCATGCCGTTTTGGGGAGGGAAGGGGAAGAGAGGAGGAGAAAATTTAAAACTCAAAAGCTTATGGAAGTGATTGTTGAAAACTATAAATAAATAATTTTTTTTACTGCAAGTATCTCTGATAAAGACCTCACTTCTCAAATATAAACAGAACTTAGATTTACAAGAATACAAGCCATTCCCCAATTGATAAAAGGTCAATGGATATAAACAGGTATTTTTCAAATGAAGAAATCAAAGCTACCTATAGACACATGAAGAAGTACTCTAAAACACTTTTGATTAGAGAAATGCAACTTTGAGGTACCACCTCACACCTGTCAGATTTGTTAATATGACAGAAAAGGAAAATAATAAATGCTGGAGAAGATGTGGAAAAATTGAGACACTAATGCACTGTTGGTACTGTTGTGAACTGATCCAACCATTCTGAAGGCAATTTAAAAGTATGCCCAAAGAGCAACCAAACTGGGGCCATCTCCAGTCATTCTGATCTATACCTGGCCCACTGGCCCAGATTGCCACAGAAGAAAAAGTGAGGTTGGTGAACTTGCATAGCCCTCCCTTACTTAAATACAATTCACTTGCAAGTCATGGCATCATCTTCCTGATGTTCTTCAAGAACAAAGGACAAAAACAATAGCCCTTTGATCCACTTCTAAGCCTATATCCCAAAAAGATCATAAAAAAAGGGAAGAGGACCTGCATGTGCAAATATATTTGCAGCAGCCCTTTTTGTGATGGCAAAACATTGGAAATTAAGGGTATGACCACTAATTGGGGAATGGCTGAACAAGCTGTGGTATAGGAATGTAATGGAATACTATTGTGCAATAAGAAATTACAGCAGATTTCAGAAAAACCTGGAAAGTCTTGTACAAATTGATGCAAAGTGAAATGAGCAGAACCAGGAATACACTTTATACAGTATCAGCAACATTGTGTGATGACCAACTATGAATGACTTAGCTCTTCTCGGCAATACACTGATCCAAGAGAAGTACAAGGGATTCATGAAGGCAAATGCTATCGATCCTGATAAAGAACTGATGGGCTCTAAATGCAGATCAAAGCATATTTTTTCACTTACTTTATTCTTTCTTATGTGTTTTTTTCCCCTTTTTGATCTGTTTCTTCTTTTACAACTGTGACTAATATAGAAACATTTTTACATGATAGCACACATATAAACTACATCAAACTGCCTACCATTTTCAGAAGAATGGAAGGGAAGAAGGGACTAAGAGTAAGGAGGGTAGGAGAAAAATTTGGACTTCAAAATCTTGTAAAAGTTGATGCTAAAATTTTTCTTGACATGTAACTGGGGGAAAATACTATTTAAAAAAACAAAACAAAACAAAAAGAAATCTGTGTCTCCCTGTATTTGGAGTCCAGCCCTAAGCTAAGGAAGGGTCTTTGTCCTGGTTTGCTGGGCAATGGGCAAGTATTGCTTAATAAATTAATATGCTTACAAGATTGAATCTTTGTATCCTAGACATTTCATCTTTCACCTGCCACAATACTGATACATTGCTCAAGTATATAAGGCAAAACTAGTGGGTCTTTTGAGTTGTCATTTAGCACTTCTCCAGCTTTCACCCCCATACTATGGCTTCCATATTCAAAGAGTATTGCTCATATCTAAGGTCCATTGCAGGATAATGAGGTTATGAAAGTATCCATATCTCAGATCTTAGAGGCAGAAAAAAGTAGAAATGACAGAAAAAAACATTCTTTTTATCATTTTATTCCTGAAAGAGAACCGTGAAAGAACAAAATAGACAGAAGAAGATTTGAAGAGACAATTGTGAGAAGCAGACCTGGCCCATTAGTTACACCTCCACAATGATTCCTGACCTGTATAACACATTTTTCAGGGCTCTCTTTACTTCCTTATTCCTCAAAGAATAGATTAAAGAATTCAGCATAGGGGAGACAAGGTTATTCAATATTTGAACCACAGCACCAAGCAAGGGGTTGGGTGTAGACTGTAGATAGATAATGATAACTGGTCCGTAGGCACACAGGATTGCAGTAAGGTGGGCACTGCAGGTGGAGAAGGCCTTGCGCCTGCCTTCAGTCGAATGAATTCTCAAAATGGCCATTCCAATGCGAGTATAGGAAACAAGAATAGCGAAAAATAGTGTTAAAGCCAGAAGACCAACATTAGTGAAACCTACCTTCTGGGCGAGGGAACTGTTAGCACAGGCAAGGGGTAAGACAGCAGGAATGTCACAGAAGTAATAGCCCACTTCATTTGGGCCACAATAGGGTAATGAAAAAGTGAATGTAGTTAAGATGGTGGCATCAGTGCAGCCCACCACCCAGGCACCCATAACCAGGACCACACAAAGTCTGGGGTTCATAATGACTGTATATCTCAATGGGTGACAAATGGCAACAAAACGATCATAAGCCATTACAGAATAAAGAACACCTTCAGTACACCCCAAGAAATGGTAGAAGAAGAGCTGGGAGGCACAGCCCCTATAAGAGATAGCTTGACTTTGCCCTGAGAGGTACAGTAGCATTTTTGGAGAGGTCACTGAGGGGAAAAATATGTCAAAAATCGATAAAAGTCCCAAGAAAAAATACATGGGGGTGTGAAGGCGAGAGGAGGATAAGATGGCCACCAGAATGAGTGAGTTCCCTACCAGGGTAAAGAGGTAGATGAAGAAGAAGATGACAAAGAGTGCGTCTCCAGACCCTCTGTGTGAGGGATTCCCAGCAAAATAAACTCAGTGAACTCTGTGTGGTTCTTCATTTTCACAGGAAAGTCAGTGCTGGAAGAAGATGCCAAACCAGAAATTGTGAGTAAAGATGTCAGAGACAGAGGATGAGTTTGATGAGCATAATACAATGCGTGTGAGGTCAATAATTTGTGGTTTTGGTTAAAGGCAACAGCTTAATCCCATAATTTATGATTCTTTCAAAAGACACCAATAGGTAGGAAAGCAAACCTGCCCTCTCCCATTAAGAAAGAACACCCACCGCTGTTTCATCAGACCACATTTATCTATTAGGTTAGAGTTTACAAAACACTTTTCTCAAAATGATATTTAGATATAAATAGTGTGTATATTATTGTCCTTGTTTTACAGATGAGGAAATTAAGGCTCAGAGAGTTGATATCACTTTGCTGAGTTCACCTAGCTGGTTAGAGGCAGTGTTGGCACAAATTCAGGGCCTTTGCTGACAAGTCTAGGGGTCTTTTTCTTTATCCTCTTCACTCAGTGAATGTAAAGGGAAACATTAAATTGGAAAAATTTTGGAAAGATGACAAAATATTTAAAAGGAAATAAGTGGAACCTATAACTAATGTGATGATAATAATTTTCTCCCAACAGAGCAACCTACGGTTGACAAATGTGTGAACCTGAGGCAGCTTTCTTAAAGCTCTCTGAATAGAAACAAAATGAAACAATGAAGATTTATTTAGTAGCCTCAGCTGTAATAGAAGATTATTATATTAGCAATTACTGGACATACAGTTAATCATTCAATTGACAAACCATTTATCAAATACCTGCTTTATACTAGGTACTGGATATAACATTTAAATAAATCATGGACCCTCCTCTGAAGGTATTTACAGTTTAGTAGGGACAGAAGATGTTAAATCAGACATCTATGAAACACAATAGTTCATGAAAGGGGCACTGCACATCTGGGAGATATTTGTGAAGTTTGACAGTTGAAAAAGTGGGAATGAATGAGATTGCTAAGGGAAAGATTATAAAGGGAGAAGAAAAATGGGATAAGTACAGTGAAAAGGGCTAAAGACAGCACCATCAACTCTGCAGGTAAATAAAAATGATTTTTTGTCACAGGAATGAAAAATTCATTTGGGGGTCTATTATGGACAGCTTATATGAAGGAAATTTAAAGGATGTGTGGTTAAGGAAGGCTCTAATAGTGGACATTATTATAGGTGGGGAAGGAAAAAGTATTAAGTATAAAAAATATTAAGTACCTACTATGTGTCTGGTACTATACTTAGCTCTTTGTATGAGATCAGAGTTCAGGGTACACTGAGAAAATCTAGGATAAATGGGAATAAACTTTCCTGGAGTTGGATAGCACTCTGAGAGTGATGTCCCTGCCTGAAATGGGATCTAAAAGAAAACAACAAACATCCAACCCTGCCGGGGCATGTCCTGGCATCATCACCATCACCACCACCAAAATGATTTATTTGGACAAGTTTTCAAGTAATTCAAGCAAGAAATTTAAAGAAGCAGGGATATTTCAGGAGATAAAATCATCAAAGCTGGTGATTCAAGAGGAATTAAATGGGGCAGCTAGGTGGTGCTGTGGATAGAGCACTGGGTCCCAAGTCAGGAGGACTGAGTTCAAATTTGACCTCAGACACATAACACTTACTAGCTGTGTGACCCTGGGCAAGTCATTTAACCTCATTGCCTAGAAGAAAAAAAAAGAGGAATCAAATAACTTGGAAGGTACTTGTCTGAAGCACTGATTAGAACAAACAAACTTAGAAGGGGGACTTACAGCTGGGGTCAGGGATCACACAGAAGTAGGCATAGACTTATTATCTGGACATTGGAAGACTTTCTTCAATGGTTTTGAGTTTTGAGCATTCCTGGACTGGAGACTCCATAGAGAATAATACAAAGGACCAAATAATCAGCTATTGAAATATAGCAGCAGCAGCTTTAACAAAGGCAAATTTTGCAGAGATGTTTTAAATAGGACTTCCTGAGCTATGGGACTTTTTTACTCAAGCAGAGTCAACATGTAAGACAGAGATTCTCTGTAGTCTAGGATGATTTAAGTATAGTCTTTTCTCCTTTCCCTCTATATTCCTTCATGTGGTGATCTCATCAACTTCCACGTATTTACTTACTCTTTCTCTGCTGATGATTCTCAAATCCACCTAGCCTTTCCTCAAACCTCTTTGCTCACCTCCAAGCTCATTTCTCCAACTTGCCTTTCAGACATCTCAAACTATATGTCTAACAGACATCTTAAACATATGTGCAAAACCAAATACATGACCTTTCCTCTCCCCTGCCCTGCACCTTCCATATTACCTTAGAGGTCAACACAATCCTTCCATTCCCTCAGGTTCAAAATCTAGGAGTCCTCTTCAACTCCTCACTATCTCTCACTCCTCATATAGAATCCGTGGCCAAGGCTTATCAGTTTTCCCTTTGCAACATCTCAAAAATATGTCTCCTGTTCTCTGACACTGCACCTACTCTGATGCAGGTACTCATCACTTTATAACTAGATTGTAGGTATCCTTCTAGGTCCTTGGGTGCAGCCTTTTGACTGAGTTCAAGTTTTACAGAACAAATCCTTTTATTAAGGTGATTTGTTCTATGAAGTTTTGATTCAATCAAAGGGACTCACTTGAGGCCTCTTAGAGGGCCACATGTGAACTCAAGGTAGCAGGTTCCTCACCCCTGAAGTTTATTGCAATAACCTCCTAATGAGGCTGTCCACCAGAATTATCTTCTCACTCTACTCCATTTTCCATTCAGCCACTAAAGTGATTTTCTTAAAAACTCAGGTCTGACGGAGTCACATTCTATACTCAAAAATTCCAGTGGCTCCCTATTGCCTCCAGGAACAAGTAGCAAATGCTTTTTTGGGTGTGTGTGTGTGTGTGTGTGTGTGTGTGTATGTGTATATATCTATAGCTATATATCTATATAGATAGACAGATAGATAGATAGTGATAATCATTTAAGATCAATTGAGCCCCAATAAGGGCCAAAAACTTGAATTAATCTTTTTCTCTCTGAGTGAACTGAAAACACCCCTTCCTGTGTCAGCAAATTCCAGGACCAGATGTAACTGACCAGCATTTTTCCTGTTCGTTGTCACTAAGCGCAGGATGTCTGGGATCAGACACTCTCTTGAATAATGGGACTCTTCTTATCTTGGTCTATAATTTCAATTGACACTTTTACATTCTCCTATTTTATTGTATTTACAACCTATTCAATTAAGAAAATTCCTTTCCCATGCTATATATTAAACAAATATATGGAGGCTGTATTTTTTTGTAACACAGACATCCTGAGTCTGATCACTCTCAACTGTATAAAACCTCTCTCATTTTGCTTAACCTCCGAGTCAGAATCACATTCTGGCTCCCATGTTAACATGATTCGCTAGCTAAAAGGGAATAAACTATATAATCATGTATCACCTAACTTGTTTGCCTTCTTTAACCAAACTTTCAGGTTAACAATAGATAGATAGATAGATAGATTGATAGATAATCTCCTAGCCCCTCTCTTACTTTTCCACCATTGTTACATCTTATAGCCTCTAGGATCAAATGCAAAATGCTATATTTGGCATTCAAAACTCTTCATAAACCAACATTCTCCTACCTTTCCAGTCTTTTTATACCTTACTCCTAAACATGGACTGTTCTATCTAGTGGTACTGGCCTTCTAGCTATTGAAGGAACAAGAAGTTCTCATCTTTCAGTTCTGAGCATTTTCTCTGGCTATCCTCCATGCCTGGAATGCTCTCCCTACTCTTTTTCCACCTATGGATGTCCCTAGCCTTCTTTAAGTCTCGACTAAAATCCTTCTTTTACTGGAAATATTTTTCATCCCCACTTTCTTCCAGTGATCCCCCTCTGTTAATTATTTCCCATTCATCCTGCATATCACTTGCTTTGTATATATTTGCATGTTGTCTCCCCATTAGATTGCAAGATCTTTGAGTGGAGGGACTCTCTTTTTGTATCTCTTAAGTATCCCAGCACATAGCACAGTGCCTGACACACAGTAGTCACTTAACAAATGTTTATTGATTGATTAATTACTTTGTGCAATGTACTGGGTTGAGTACAATGGGATATTAAAAAAAAATGAAAAAAGACATGGTACCTAATCTAAAAGTCCTTATGATCCACTAGGGGAGATAGGACACATGCATAGAGAATCACCATAAAAATTTAAGTAAAAGTGAGGTAAGGGTACAGACAGCAGAAAGAATCCTGGCTCTATAACCAGAGAATCTGGGCTCAAATCTTACTTCTGATACTTACTAACTTTTTATCTTGGGCAAGACCCTTAAGCTCCTGGGTTTCAATTTTCTCGTCTTTAAAATGAGAGGGCCTTTCTAGATAGACTGAAATTGATTTCAATTCTAGTTTTGTAATCCCATTAAAGGCAGAAAGCTTTATAAGAGCTCATTGAAAGGAATCTCCAGCAACAGGAAGCTAAGGCTTTTTGGAGGAGATGGTTTCTGATCTGACACTTGAAGGATGGGTAGAATTTATACAGAGGTAAGGAGGGACTTCGAGGTAGAGAAGATGATGAAAACAAGCCGTGGAGTTTTCTTCATTTGTATGATGAAAGGTATAAGATTTCTTTCAGCATTATCTTATTGACTATGTTTAGGGAATGTTGGAATGTAGGGTATGTGAAGGGAAGTAGATAGGGCTGGATAGAGAGAGTAGCACTAGACTACAAAAGGACTTTTAGGCCAGACTGAGTTTTTGCACCATTCAGAGAAATTAAACTGTTTTGAAAATGGTTTGATCAGAGCTATATCTCATGAAGGGAAACTAGGTGGGTCAGTGGACTGAGCAGTGGGCTTAGAATAAGGAAGATGAATATTCCTGAGTTCAAATCCAGCCTCAGACACTCACTAGCTATGTGACCCTGGGCAAGTCACTTATTCCTGTTTGCATCAGTTTCTCACTTGTAAAATGAGCTGGAGAAGGGAATGGCAAACCACTCCAATACTGCCAAGAAAACCACAAATAGAGTT